TCGTCCCCCCCCCCAAAGATTTTGGATCCTCAGGGATCCTGTGTGTGTCCCCCAAAGACCTGGGATCCTCAGGGATCCTGTGTCATCATCCCCGTGTGTGTGTGTGTCCCCGAAGATTTTGGATCCTCAGGGATCCTGCGTGTCCCTCCCAAAGCCTCTGGATCCTCAGGGATCCTGTGTGTGTGTCCTCAAAGATTTGGGAACCTCAGGGATCCTGCGTATCCCTCCCAAAGACTCTGGATCCCCAGGGATCCTGTGTGTGTCCCCAAAGACCTGGGACCCTCAGGGATCCCGTGTCCCACAACTCTGGATCCTCAGGGATCCTGTGTGCCCCACCTCAAAGACTCTGGATCCTCAGGGATCTTGTGTGTGTCCTCAAAGATTTGGGAACCTCAGAGATCCTGTGTCTCACGAGTCTGGATCCCCAGGGATCCTCCGTGTGTCCCCCCCAAAGTCTCTGGATCCTCAGGGATCCTGTAGTGTCCCCCCCAAAAGCCTTTGGATCCTCAAGGATCTCCTGTGTCCCCTCAACAGCTTTGGATTCTCCAAGACCCTACAGATTCCAAAAAGGGCCAGATCCTTGAGGATCCCGGGAGATTCCCAGCCCCCAGCAACGTGCTCCTCCACCTGACGTTGGACCTATGGGGTGCCGGCCCCCCAAAACCTCCCTGTCAGCTCTGGATCCTCCCAGATCCCAGGAAACCGGGCGCCTAAAAACTTGCCCCCCTCCATTTCAGGGATCCCAGGGGATCTGGGCTCTGAAATCCTGCCCCTGGCTCTGGATCCTCACAGATCCCAGGGGATCTGCGACCCAAAAACCTCTCCCTCCCGCCCCCGGCTCTGGATCCTTGGAGATCTGAGCTCAAAATCCATCCCCCGCCCCGGGCTCAGGATCCTCACAGATCCCAAAGGATGTGAGCTCCAAAAATCTCTCCCCCACCTCCTGCTCTGGATCCTCAGGGATCCCAGGGAATCCAGACCCCCAAAAACCTCCCCCACAAGGCTCTAGATCCTCAGGAGGACTCAGATCCCGGCAGCCATCGGCTCTCCCTTTCAGACCCCCAAAAGATCCCAGAGGATCTGGGCTGCAGCAACCTCGCTCCGAGCTCTAGATCCGCACAGCTCCCCGGCGATCCCCGCTCCAGCAGAGGCCCTGCCCAGCCCCAGGGGCCATCAACCTCCCCCCCGGGCCTTCCCCCAGCCTCCAGCCGCAGATCCGCAGGGATCTCTGAGACACCCGGCTCTGGATCCCGAGGGATCCCAGCTCCAGACACATCCCACCAGGATCCCAGAGGCCGCCCGGCGAAGACACCACGCGCGTACCCCATCCCCAGGAATCCCCTCAGCCCACCGAGTGGATCCGCAGGATCTGGGCTCCAGATCCTCCGGGATCCCAGCTCCCTCGCCCTCCCGCAATCTCCACTCAGGATTCGGATTCTCACAGCGGGGAAGGATCAACCCCGTTAATCGCGGGGAGGGGGATCGGGGCGTTGCGGATTCCCCCCTGCCCTCATCCAAGGGATCCCCCGGGGCGATCCGCTCGGGATTTAGCACCCCCTCGGCAAGGAGAGGGGGAAAATCGCCGGTTCCGAGCGCTGTACCAACACCGGCCCCGTCCCTGAGCTGCCAAGGGGATCCCAAGGGATGGACTCACCTTTCCTTGGATAGAAAGATCTCCTGCAGGATCCCCTTCTCCCTCTCGGCCTGAGTGAAGCGTTCCCGGCTGCCGCTGCCCGGCACCACCAGGGGAGCGGGAAGATCCAGGAGTTTGGGATAAACCCAGGGCACCTTCTCCTCCATGGCGTCGTGGCTGAGGCGCCGGGCCGTCTCGAAAGCGTGTCGATCCTTCAGCATCTCCCGCTTGGCCGCTTCCTCAAAATCCTTAATCTTGTTGACATTGACTGCGGGGACGAGACACCAACGTCATCCCCAAAAAAAGTTCGGGGACAGCGAAGGGCGGAAGACAGGCGGGAAGGGGGGGAAGGGACGGGGCTCACCTCGTTCGGTCTCGTCCAGTTCGAAGTAGAAATATTCACGGAGTTTGTTCTCCTCCGGCCAACTCACAGTTTTCTTTTTCCGACCTTTTTTGGTGAGTTGGCCGCTTTCCGTCGAGTTTTCGGTGGATTTGGCGTCACCGCTCACCTCCGCCGAGCCTGCGGGAGAGGAAGATCAGCATCTATTCGAATCCCCTCAACCCCACGGTTTCCTCTCCTCCTCCTCTTCTTCCTCCTCAGCGCTCTCAACTTACACGTCTCCATCGGTTCCGGCACTTCCACAGCTGGTACCGGCGTTCCGGGTCGATCCTGCTCCATCGGCTCCGAAACGACGCTGGGTTCCGGAGAGGAAGGTTTGGTCGAACTGGTTTCGGGAGCCGGTTTTCCCTCGAAAGGGCTGGGCTGGAGTTGGGGGGGGAGGGAAAAAAAAAAAAAAAAGGATGTTTTGGGGGGGTTCTCTTGGTAAGGAGGGGACTCCGCTAGCCAGGGAGGGGACCCCGGTAGCCACCTCCTCACCTTGGCCGCCGTAGGGGACAGCACCTTCTTCTTCTTCTTGATTTTGATACCGGGGATGGGAGCGGAGTTGAGGGCGTCGAGGAAACCCAGCCCTTCCATGGCTGAGGGAAA